TCTATCTATCTATCTATCTATCTATCTCTTTTCTTCTTTCCCAATCCAAATTGTTATTTCCTTTTGAGCAGCTTCTTTCCCTTTCACAGTATTTATTGTACTTTTTTTTTGCAGAACCGGGGATTGAACTCAGGCCCTTGCACTTGCCAGGGAAACGCTTATTCTACTGATCCATCTCCCTGGCCCTATTGTACTTTCTGGACCTTATTTACTCTTTCAGTTTCTTGCACTAGGGAACAGTACGAGGTTTACACATGCAAGGCTGATTTGTTTCACTTATGGTCTCAAGGGGCATCCATTTACCTATAAAAGCCTTGAGTTTGTCTTTCTTTATAGTTGAGTAATACTCCATTGTATAAAAATACCACACTTTTTTATCTGTTCTTTGGTTGATGGGCTTTTGGGTTGTTCCCAAGATTTAGTGATTACAAATTGCTAATAAAAATGGGTCACATATGTCACTGGATTGTGATGTTTTTAATTATTCTTGGAAAATACTCAGAAGGGGAATGGCTGGGTGGAATGGGACCTCTAATTTAGTTTTTTGAGGAATCTTCATAGTGATTTTCAGAGTGGTTGTACCAGTCTACACTGTCACAGTGAAGGGATCCTTTTCCTAACTGCCCAACCAGCGTTTGTTATTGATTTCTTGATGACAGCCATTGTTTCTGTGCTGAGATGGGATCTCAGCGTTGTTTTAATTTGGATTTCTCCGATGACCAATGATGTTGAACATGTTTTCATATACTTATTTGCTATTTGTATTTCTTCCTCTGCAAAGAGTGTTTTCATCTCAGATGCCCAGTGTTAGACTGGATCTTTGAATTTTGGGGGTCTGATTTTTAAAGATTATTTATATGTTCTAGATAGAAGTCCTTTGTCGGAAGGACAGCTGACTGAAGTTTTTCCCAGTTTGTGGTTTTTTTTTTTCACTCTGTTAGTGATTTCTTTTGATGTGCAATTTTTTAAATAAAATATGATCTCAATCATTGATTCTTTGAAGTATTTCCTGTGAAGCTTGTTTTCGTTCATGAACTCTCTACCTACTCCTATGTTGTCAAGATTTCTACCTACTTTCTCTTCCAGTAGATTTAGTGTTTGTTTTAATATTTAGATCCTTGATCCATTTTGACTTTAGTACATGGTGATAAACATGAGAATAGTTTTAGTTTTCAGCATGTGGGAAGCCAGTTTTTCCAGCACCATTTATTAAAGAGGCTTTCTTCCAGTGAACATGTTTGGCCACTTTGTCAAAGGTTAAGGTGTGTTTGTAGTCGTGCCTGTATCTTCTATTTAAAAAAATATAATTTATTTTTATTTTTAAGAGAATACAAAATAGTAATAAAAATTAGAAATGATACAGAATTTCACTAAACAAAATAGCATGAATTCCACAGTGTGTGTTGTAGTGAGTAGTGCTGTCCTCAACTTGGTTGTTCAGATGACCCCTATATGCACGCAAAACTGGAAAAAAAGAAAATAAAAAAGTTATAAGAAATCAAGAAGAGATAAAGAGGAAAACAATGAAAAAGAAGACAAAAAAATTAAGCATTAGTCCACAGTACAATTATCCAAGCTGTCCTGCTTACATACATTTAGATATATCTTTCTTCCACTCCCTCCAATGTCTTTCCCCTCATCTCATTAATTCCTTCCTTTTGAATAGATTCATTCCTCTCCCACAGTGTCTGGGGTACCCTTCAGATTTTACTTACTCTTTCAGATTCTTACTCTAGGGAGATAATACAATGCTTGCATGTGCAGGTCTCATTTCACTTAAGAGTATGATCTCCAGTTGCATCCATTTACCTATAAAGCCTCAAGGTTATTGTTTTTCATAGCAGAATAATACTCCATTGTGTGAAAGTATCACATCTTCTTTATCCATTCCTCAGTTGATGGGCATTTGGGTTGTTTCCAGGATTCAGCTATGACAAATTGGGCTGCTATAAACATGGGTGCACATAGATCACTGTGGTCTGACGTTTTCAGTTCTTCTGGGAAAATACCCAAAAGGGGAATAGCTGGGTGGAATGGTATCTCCAATCATAGCTTTCTGAGGGATCTCCACACTGATTTGCACAGTGGATGCACGAATCCACACTCCACCAACAGTAGAGAAGTGTTACTTTTTCCTCACAGCCCCTTCAGCATTTGTTATTGGTTGATTTCTTGATGACAGCCCTTGTTTCTGGGGTGAGATGGAATCTCAGTGTGGTTTTAATTTGCATTTCTCAAATGACTAATGATGTTAAACATTTTTTTTCATATATTTATTTGCCATTTTTATTTTTCCATCTGAGAAGTGTATAATCATCTCAGATGTCCATTTTTGGATTGGATCCTTGACTTTGGGAGCTCCAGTTTTAAAAATATTATTTGTATGTTCTAAATAGAAGCTCTTTGTCAGAGGGGCAGTTGGCTACAATTTTTTCCTGGTTTGTGGGTTTTCTTTTTTTTTTTTTTTTTACTTTCTTGATGAATTCTTTTGACATGAACAAACTTTTCAAAAATATGAAATCCTAGATGTTGATTCTTTGAAAGTATTTCCCATGCAGTTTGGCTTTTGTTCATGAACTCTCTGCCTATCCTTATGTCTTTAAAATTTCTACCTACATTGTCCTTCAGGAGACGTTGTGTTTCTGTGTTAATGCTTAAATTTTTAATTCATTTTGACTGTATTTTAGTGCATGGTGATAAACATGAGTTGAATTTTAGCCTTGAGCATGTGGAAAGCCAGTTTTTCTAGCACCATTTATTATTAAAGAGGCCATGTTTCTTTCTTGAATGTGTTTTCTTGAATGTGGCTGAGTGTGTCTGTAGTTGTGTCTGCATCTTCTAATCTGTTCCAATGATCCTCAGGTCTGTTTTTATGCCAGTACTATGCTGGCTTTATCATAGTAGCTTTGTAGTATAATTTTAAGTCAGGGATTGTGGTGCCTCCTGCCTTGGCTTTGTTGCCCAGGATTGCTTTTGATATTCTGGGTCTCTTCTTGTTCCACATGAATTTTAGGAATGTTTTCTCTAGATCTGTGAGGTGTGCTAATAGTATTTTAAGCAGAATTTCATTCAGTCTGTATAACAGTTTCAAGAGTATGGCCATTTTCACAGTGTTGGTTCTTCCTATCCAGAAGCAAGGAATGCCTTTCCATTTTCTCAAATCCTCTTCAATCTCTTATTTTTAGAGCAGTGTAATTTTCACTACATGAATTTTTTACTTTCTTTGTGAGATTGATTCATAAATACTTTATTTTTTTCAAATGCTATTGTGAAGGGTATGGTTTCCCTAATTTCTCTCTCGGTGCATTCATTGTTTGTGTAGAAAAATGCTATTGATTTTTGAGTTTTGACTATGCATCCTGCTATGCTACTAAATTTGGTTATTAAATATAAAAGTCTTTTGGTGGAGATTTTTGGGTGTTCTATGTAGAGTACCATGTCATCTACAAATAATAACTTCTCTTTTTCCTTTCCTTTCATTATTCCATTTATTTCTCTCTCTTGTCTAATTGCTCTTGCTAATGTTTCCAGTATTATATTGAATAGGAGTGGTGACAGAAGACATCCTTGTTTTGTTCCTGATATTAAAGTGCAGGATTTCAATTTTTATACATTTAGTATGATGTTGACTGTTGGTTTCTCATAAATGATTTTTATCAGGTTGAGATATAGACTGTCTATTCCAATTTTCTGTGGCATTTTTATCAAGAATGAGTATTAGCCTTTGTCAAAAGCTTTTTGTGCATCTATTGAGATGATCATGTGGTTTTTGTCTTTGGCTCTGTTGTTGTGGTGTATTATATTTATGGATTTGCATATGTTGAATCATCCCTTCCTGGGATGACTCCCACTTGGTCTCTTTTTTGGTTAGGTCTTTCTTTGGTTTTTGGTATCAGAATAATGTTTGTCTCCAGGGATGAGTTCGGGAGAACTGCTCCCATTTCATTTTCATTGAAGAGTTTGAAAAGAGTTGGTATTAACTCTTCTCTAAATTTCTTATAGAATTCAGCAGTGAATCCATCAGGACCTGGGATTTTCTTTGTTGGTAGGCTTTCGATTACATTTTCAATTTCATTTCTTGTTATTGGATTATTTGGAGTTTTTGTATCTTTTTGACTCAGCTTTGATAATTTATATGTATATAGGAAACTGTCCACTTCCTCTGTGTTTTCCATCTTGTGAGAATAAAGATTTTGCAAGTAGGTTTTAATGATGTTCTGAATTTCTATACGGTTTGTAGTGATTTCACTCCTTTCATTTGAATGAAATTGAACTTTTTATTTATTTCTTTTTTTATAATGTTGGCTAGGGGTTTATCAATTTTTTTTATTCTTTGAAAGACCCAACTCTTTGATTCATCATTCTTTGTATTGTTTTCTTTGTCTCCAATATATTAATTTATGCTCTAATCTTTATAATTTTCTGCCTTTTCGGGCTTTCGGCTTGACTTGCTCTTCATTATCTAGGACGGTGAGGCATAGCATGAGATCATTTATCTGAGCTTATTCTGTTTTCCTAATGTGTGAATTTACCACTATAAATTTCCCTCTTAAGATAACCTTCATTGCATCCTACAGGTTCTTTTTTTTTTTTTTTTTTTTTTACAGGTTCTTTTGTAAGTTGTATCTGCATTTTCATTCAATTATAAATATTGTTTAATTTCTTTTTAAATTTCATCTGTGACCCACTGGTTGTTCAGGGGGCTGCTATTTAATTATGTATTTATGTGGTGTCTTGCACCAATAATTTCCAGTTTCCCTGCACTGTAGTCAGACAGTTTGCATGGGATAGTTTCAACTCCTTTACATGTACTTAAGCATGCTGCATGTTCTAGTATACTGGAAAATGTCTCATGCGCAGCTAAGAACTATGTGTTGCTGGGTGAAACACTCTGTAAAGGTCCACTAAGTCCATTTCTTCACAATTTTTGTTTAGCGCTGCTATTTATTTACTGATTTTCTTTTCTTTTTTTCAGAGTTTGAGTTTTATTGTCACACTGCTCAAGCCTTGACAGCGAACTTGCGCAGAGGGTACAGCCGCTCCTTCCGCTGCTGCTTCTTGGTCTTCAGCTTCTCCTCATGCTTGTTGAGCTGGCGGCGCACGGCTCAAGTCTTCTTGGGCTGCAGGTCCAGGGCTTGTACTTCTTGCTCTTGTAATATTTCCTGAGGTTTTCTTTCTGGGTCTGGTTGATGACAATGAGAACATGGGCAGTGGATTTATGGACAGCTTGGATGCCACGTTGCCTGCCACCTTAGCGACGCACAGCTGTGACAGCTCCACTTTCAGGTCGTCCAGCTCTTCCCACAACTCTTCTTCTTGACACGAAGATCCCAAACCTTAATCTTGGCTATAGTTGCAAAAGAAGCCACCACCACCGCCTCTATTTACTGATATTCTTTTGCCTAGCTGATATGTTTTGACGGTGGTGTGTTCTCCATTAGAATTTGATTTTTTTGTCTGTTAAAATATGTCTTCATTATTTGGGTGCTTCTACATTGGGTGCATATATATTTATAATTGTTATCTCTTCCACTTGCAGTTTTCCCTTAACAAGTATGTAGTGAGCTCTTTTATCTCTTTTAATCATTCCTGGTTTTACATTGACAGTGTTGTCAACCAGAATAGCTGCCCCTGATTTTTCCTAGATTCTTAACATATGAAGTATTCTTTCCCATCCTTTGACTTTCAATCTGTGAATTTCCTTTTGGCTTAAACGTGTTTTGTACTTATATAAATCATACTGTTGGATTTTGTTTCTTGATGCACTCTACCAGTGTGTTTCTTTTGATTGGTGAATTGAGGCCTTTTACATTGATGGTTATAACTGATATGTATTGGCTTATCTTTGCCATGTTATTTTCCTGCTATAGGTTTGTACTTTCCCCCTTTTTAAAGTTACTTGTTTTTTTTTGGCCAGCTCAGCCTGCCCTGAGGCTGGTTGGGGCTGGTGCGGTATGTGGTGCTGGGGATTGACTTGTGGTCCCCTGTGCCTGCCTAAGCTTGCCTAAGCAGATGCTTTAGACCATCAAACCATCTTGCTGGCTCAAATTACTTGCTCTTGCTTTTTTAATTACTAACTAGTTGCTTCCTTTTTTTTTGTTCTTAACATTGTGGTTGTTTCTGTTTCTTTCTAGACTGTCAGTACTCTTTGTAGCGTTGATTTGGTGGTCATGGGTTTCTTCAGTCGTTCTTTGTCTTGGAAGAATTATATCCAGCCATTGAATTTGTAGATAGTTTTGTAGGGTACATATACCGGAGTTGCAAATTATTTTCTTTCAGAACCTGAAATACTTCACTCTAAGCTCTTCTTGATTTGACAGTCTATATTGAGAAATCTGCTGAGATTCTAATGGGCTTTGCATTGTAGGTAATCTGTTCTAACAGCTTTTAATATTCTGTTCTTTTGCTGAATTTCTGGGATCTTGATTATTATTGTCTAAGTGTAGATTTATTTCGATTATGGCTAACTGGAGTTCTATATGCCTCACTTAACTGTATGTCAGATTCTCTCATGCATGGGAACTTTTCTGCTACTACTTCTGCAAGTAACATTTTGTTGTGTCATTTGTGCTGACTCCTGCTGTTTTGCTGACATTAATCAGTCTTACGTTTTCTTACATCATCTTATAGCTGCTGAATTGTTATTTTCTGATTCCTTGTTAGTTTTAGGAGATCTTTCTTTTCACATTCATTAGCTGCACCACTGTCTTCTAGGTCTGAAAGTCTTCAGTTTTGTTTAAGCAGTTTTGCCAGTTTTCAATTGAATTTTTCATTTCTTGAATATCAGGATATCATTTGAATTTGTTTCATGCATTTTAATTTTTTCCTTTATTGTTTGTTCAGTGTTTCCATCAGTTTTAAATTTTTTTATTCTATTTTTTTAATCTATGTCTTTAGATTGCTGAGCAAATCTTTTACAATTTTTGTCATTTCTTTTTTGACTGGAGAGATTATTTCTGATCTTATTTCTTCTGTGGCTGGATGGACTTATTTCTTTACTAATGTTGCTATAATTTCAGGTATGTGATTTTCAAGTTCTTCTATGTCCTTGTCTCCTGAACTTATTCTGAGTGGGTTTGAGGACTACATTGCCTTTTCTCATTCATTTTGGCATTTTTGAAGCTCCCAGTGATCACCTGGACTCAGCAGTGGTGGGAGAGGGGTGGGGCATTGGTCAGTAAAGTTCTCATTAAAGTGGCAGGACAGGGTGGGACTCTCCAAGGTGGGGGAGGCTGGCCAAAGCTCAGCAAAGCTTCTGCATAGGTAGGGGCATGGGCTGGACTCACCAGGACCCTGCAGCTGCCTGACATCTGCCTGCACCCTCAGTCACTGGGATGGGGCTGCATGGGATAGTGCCCAGCTGATCCATTGCACCTCCTCACTGGTGGTGCACATGGGCTGGACTCACCAGGACCCTGCAGCTTCCCAGCATCTGCTTACGTTCTCAGAGGGTGGTATAGGCTGCCAGTAGGCCCCACTGCACCTCCTCACTGGTGGTGTGCATGGGACAGACTCACCAGGACCCTGCAGCTTCCCAGCATCTGCTTACATTCTCAGAGGGTGGTATAGGCTGCCAGTAGGCCCCACTGCACCTCCACACTAGTGGTTCATGGGGCAGAACTCACCAGGACCTCACAGCTGTCCACTCTCTGCCTAAGTTCTCAGACTGTGGGACAGGGCACCAGTAGATCCTCCATTCCTCCATGATGGTGGCCCATGGGGTAGGAATCACCAGGACCCTGTAAATAAAATCTGATGTATGCTGTGTTTCTCATGGGATTTCCTTTATATGTGACCTGTTTCTTTTCTTTAACAGATTTTGATATTATGTTCTTGTTCTGAATTTCTGGGATCTTATTATATGTCTGGGTATAAATTTTTTTATGGATCACTGGAGTTCTATATGCATTTAACTGTATATGAGATTCTTCTCCATTTTTGAGTAATTTTCTGCTACTACTTCTGCAAATATTCTTTTATATCATTGTGTTGACTCCTGCTTTTACATTGACACTTGTCAGTTTTATATTATTTTTCTTTGCATCATTTTGCAGTTGTTCAATTGTTATTTACTGCTTCCTTGTTAATTTTAAGAGTTCATTCCTTTTGTGATCACTAGCTGGAAGTCTGTCTTCAAGATCTGAAGTCTCTCTTCAGTTTTGTTCAAGCTGCTTGCCAGCTTTCTATGGAATGTTTAATTTTCTGGCTGTCTCTATGAATCTGTTTCATGCTATAATTTTTTCTATATTGTTCATTCAAGGTTTCTATCATTTTCCTGTATTCCTCTATTTTTAAAATTTATGTCTCCTTTAGATATGCTGAACAATTTTTTCATTATGGCTGTCATTTTTTTTTAACCTAAGAGATTACTTCTGATCTGAATTTTTCTACAGCCTCCTGAAGTTGTTTCTTTACTTCAGAGCTATCATTTCACAAATTTCAGGTGTGTGACTTCTATTTTCTTCTATGTCCATTTTTCCTGGATATATTCTGGGTGGGGTAGAAGTCTGAGATTACATTTTGGTCCTTTGTCTTGACATTTTCTATATCTAACTTTGAAAAAAAGTTTGTTTTCTGTGATGATCCTTGTCAGCTTTGGTAGTAGGTAGTTATATCAGTAGTATCAAGGTCTCTCTAGGAGAACTGTTCTTTAGAGATATCATCTCTGTGTAGGAGACTTGTGGTTTGTGTCTGTCTCAAGACCGTACCTTCCTAACTGAGAGTGGAATGTTTGTTTCTGTTTGCCTCTGTTCCTAGCATTTTGGTGTAGGATATGGAGAAGTTATTACCCTAGAGCTTCTTCATATTGTTATACAAAGGAGAACAATTGAGTACAGCAGCTGTGACCTCCTAGCTACAGTAGCACAGTTAGCAATAACGATAGCATCAGGTACAATGTAGAAATGGACAAACTTAGGTAACTACTAATTTTGTACTTTAGACCTTAGGAGCAAATTCTATAGTTACAGAACTGAGCCAATCATACATTAGGAGTTTGTTAGAGTGGAGTTACCCTGGGCTTCTCCAGACAATATTTCTGTGTCCCAGGCACTTCCTGTGCTGGCTGCCATTCCATGGTGTAGGGGTATGGGCCAGGCACCTGGGTTCCTCCAGAGATGGGCTGCGACAATTATGGAGGGTTGGCAGGTGTGTTCTTTCCTCATGGCTCACCAAGGCCCGTGATGGCGGGCTTCTCTCCTCAGTTGAGTGTGGTTCACCAAGGCTTCCTTAGTGGGCACCTAACAGGCAGCTTTGGTGTCATTAATCAGAAGTGCAGTAATATTTCGTGCTTGGAAACTAGTGAGGTCAGCTGTGAGGAATTCTCCAAAGAGGGCGAACAAGTTTTTGAACCACTGGGAGGGTGAGTGCAGGACTGGAGTCTTCCCAGTTAAAGGCCAAGAAAAGCAGCTGATGCAAGTCAGTCAAAGGCAGAAGAAGGCATTTGTTAGCTCCAGGCTGGTGTGCCAGCAGGCTGTGGATGACTGTAGGACAGAGGGCAACTGCAGCTGCACTGAGCTTGGGGATCCTGAACTGGCTTTTCAGGGAGGAGAGGCATATTTTGGCACTTTGACAGTCTATAAACATGTGGTTTTGAAACCTCTGGATATGCAGGTGAACTTCTAGTTGAGTCTCACATGGCACAGGATACCGTTTGATGTAGGTAGAAGTTACCGCAGCATGGCAAAACCAGAGAGGCTGATAGCCCAATCTCATGGCCCAGGGCAAGGCATCTTTTAGATTTAGACATGTAAATCAGGTGACATCTGGAAGTAACAGTAACAGTCCATCAGGATTCCAAACTACTGACGACAATGGGTGTCTTGGTGAGGTGGCATGGTTGATGGCCAGGCCCCCATACCTCAGGGAGGAGAGTTTTCAGAATTTCAGGATTGTGGTTATGTGTGTCAGGCTGATGCACCCATCATCTTCCTCTCCTGAAAAGTTAAATGAGATGGAGGCTGCCTAGCTTGGTGCAAAGGGGATACTCACTTCTAACTTGAAGATGGGGCTTCTCAGAAGCAGTATGGGGACTTGCTTATCAAGAATTTATACTTGGTGAGATGTCCTCCCAGGTTGTTTGTGTCTGCCA